ACCCTAACCATAAACTCATAAATTTGGAAGAAATAGAGAGATTAATGAGTGTGGTACTTACCTTGAATGTTTATAGCCTCCAAAATACTTTTAATGTCGTCCACAAGTAAATCTTAGCAGAGCTTGGTGCATCTTTTCATTTTCTCTTTTTTCTCCTCTCTTTTTTCTACTTCATTTTCATGACTGATATCTACAAAAAATAACCATGCATTGCGGCGGATGCACAATACGCCACATACATGGCACAAAAAGGTCCTCCCTCATATCAAAAATGTCTGTGCGCCACGATGGATGATCTCCATGCTGTGGTGTGTGACACAGCAATATCACTCTTTATTTTTTTTTCTTTTAATGCCCAGTGACCTGACTTGATATTAGACCTATAATTTAGGCTAAAATATGATCAAATTTGATTATTAGACCTCTTTGGCCATACACCACCTCAACTTACTTAATTATCCTAATTAGGTTTAATTAATTAAGGGATTAAAATTGGGATGTTACAAATTGTCTTTAGGTCAAGATCTGGGCTCTACCTAGGATTAAAGATGGTGTGGGACACTAAGGCAAGGCAAATCATGTTAGATCATAGAGGCCTTGGAAGCTATGAGAACACCACCAAGCTAAGGACGCTTTAATTTGAACCTAATCTTGGAAGTTAAACAATTCCTTGAGAGGGACTGGAGTATTGAACTTTGTTGTGTTGGTCATGCTTGCAATAAAATATTAGATCTTACAAAAGATGGGCTATCTACAACTCTTAGTTTTCTTGTGTTTGTTTGATCCTCGCATGAACTTCGTGAAGTGTTAGCATAAGATTGGCCTCATATGGCTAGTGTAGATCTCATGTAGGTAGCTTTAGCTACTTCTTTTGTTATATATATATAAGAATAATTATCCTTAATTTTTTAACAGCTGCTATAACAATAATAGGGAGAATGACAAAAAAGAATATTAATGTCAAATTAAAATTTTTTAACACTGATGTTCACAAATTCCAGTACTTCTTCTACCATATTTCAGTATTAAAGTTCCTAATTTATTATTAATGTTCTTACAGGATCCTTACTCATCATTCTCCCATAATAATATTAATGCCTACTCTTTCTATTTAATAATGTAATGCATTTTTTGAGATGTTTGATTTTAAAAAATATAAGAAATTTTTAGTATTTCAAGGTATAATTAATGTGTTTTTTTAAGTACCCATAGTAAATAAATTAATTTATATTTATTGTAAAGTAAAACACTCTATTAAATAAGGTAAGTATGGAGAGATGGTGTTAGTTTGAATACAATTAACTAGTATTTTATTGAGAGTGAGATTCAATAAAAAATGTTAATAGAGATAATGCTTAATTTTGCTTCTTTCTTGGCGAAGGTGATAAATTGGTAATGATATGTAATTAGTGGAAGAATATAGGAGTTGGATTTGGTGAGTGTCTTAAGTCCACTCACTCAATGAATATCTCATAGACAAAGCAGTGATAATATCATTATTGCTCAAGAAATTATCCACTCAATGCAAAATAAAATGGATAAAAAAGGGTTCATGGCTATCAAGGTCAATCTCGAGAAGGCATTTGACAGACTCTCTTGGAACTTCATTGATGATACACTTGACTCTATTGGTTTGAATAGCCACCTTAGAAATATGATTCAAGCAACGATCTTTACCTCACAAATGCAGGTCCTTTAAAATGAAGTCCTTTTTAAGGAATTCACTCCTTCTTGAGGCATCTGCCAGGGAGACCCTCTTTCTCCTTACCTTTTTGTGCTTTGTATAGAATGTTTAGGTCATTGCATTAATAATAGCATTGATAAAAATGAATGGATGCCGATTAGGCTTACAACTAATGGACCTCTAATTTTTCACTTATTTTTTGTCGATGACTTTTTACTTTTTGTAGAATGTTCATTATCTCAAGTCATGATCATGCAATAATGTCTCTCTAAATTTTGCAATGCCTTTGGACAAAAGATAAACATTGATAAATCCAGGCTTTATTGTTCTAGGAATGTTAACATCAATAAAGCTATAGAAATTAGTGAAGAGTTGAGGATTCCTCTCATTAGCAACCTTGGCAAATATCTGGGAATTTCCATTATGCATAAAAAGGTTTCTAAACTTACTTTTGCTCCTCTTCTTGATAAGACAATCTCAAGGTTGTTAAACTGGAAAAGTCGTTATCTAAACTTAACCGGAAAATCTGTTCTCATCAATTCTATTCTTTTGGCTCTACCCAGCTACATTATGCAAACTATGCTACTTCCTAATAATGTTCTAGCTGAATTGGAAAAAGAGCTCTAGGAATTTTATTTGAGATTCTTTTGACGGCACTAAAAAACTGCATCTCATCTCTTAGAATTGTATTACCAAGGACAAAAAGGAAGGTGGTCTTGGCATCAGGAAGCTTAAAAATTAAAAAATTGCTTTCATCATAAAGCTATGGTGGGGACTAATTTCTAAACCTAACTGTCTTTGGGTGCATATCCTTCGTGATAAATACAAATGCAATAAACCTAAAATCCTAATGGTTGTCAAACCTAATTCTTGCTCTTATATTGGAACAGTATTTGTAAAGTTTGGGACAAATTTATGCATCATGTTGGTTGAAAAGTTGGCAAAGGGGATCAAATATCTTTTTGGTATGACAGATAATCTCCACTCTCGGAACCTCTTATTAGTTATGCTCTACCCAATGCTGATTCTATCCTTCATGCCAGAGTTGATGATCTTTGCAAGAATGCAAGTGGTTGGAATATAGATCTTCTAAACCACTATCTTCACTCTTATGTGATCAAGCAGATATTCGCTATTTGACCTCCCAATCATCAAAATGAAGACGATGTTCTTATCTGGAGGCCCTCTTCTGATGGCAACTTTTCGATTAAATCTGCCCATAAGGCTTGGGAATCTCATAAGGACTAAAATCACTCTAATATATGATCTAAGATTTAGAAATGGCCCACTTATGAGAAAATAAGACATTTCATTTAGAAAGCAGCTTGGAATTGTCTCCAAAACAACTACCTACACCCTACTGGGGTCCTGCACAAGCTAATGCCTACCCTTTTAGTTGACTGGATAATTTGGAATGTGAAGAATGAAGTAGGAAACTTGCAAACAAGAAGAAAATCCTGGCAAAGTCTTTTCGCTCAAGTTTACTGAAATATTTAGAAAATTAGATACAAGAAGCTCTACTCTGACGATGAAAGTCTCTAGCATACATCAAATTGATAGCAACATGAAGCTTCTTTCTAAATTCCATCATTTGAATAAAAGAAGCACTAATTATGACGTCAATTAGACACCTCTTGAATTTGCTTGGCTAGACTTGACATTGATGGTGCAATTAATATCAATGGTGTAGCTACTTATGGAGGCATCATCAGATACGATAAGGGAAATTGAATTAAAGGTTTCTCCAAGCATATTGGATACCTGTTCAGCACTACTGCTGAGCTCATAGGAATCTATGAAGGCTTTATCCTTTGCTGGAATGAAAGGTTACCCAAGATTAATGTTCATACAGACTCGATGAAGGTGTTATCTCTCATTACATACAATTATTCTGGGAGCCATCCATTACCTGACATCATCAAATACATCAAACATCTCGCTCTTAGGATTGGGTGATCACTTTTGATTACATGCACAGATAAGCGAATAGATGCACAGATCACTTAGCGTACCGGACTTCAGATGATAATTTTATTACTATGATCTATGATGTTCCTCTGCAAGATTGTAAAAGCCTTTTGGCTATAGACATGACTAGATCTTAATCTTTTTACACGGTTTATCTGTGGTCTTGTATTAAAAAAAACAAATGTCTCACAAGACACGATAACAACCATTTGATTTAATCAAATGATTATAAAAAAAAATTATCATATACTCATTTGGTCCTATTTATATGGCAGGGAGAGATTATTTGTTTTGGTCTTATTTATAGAACACCTTAATGATTATTGTGTACTCCCTTCATTTCTACATAAAAAAGAAAAAAATTGCATCACCCAATTTAAAAAAGCTTGTTAACTATAATAATTATATCTAAAAATAAAAAAATTGGACTAAAATACTATATATTAATCAACATAAGCATACATTAATTATTTTTCATTAATGTAAATTATGAGGAGCGATTTAGAAAATGTATAATAAATGCTTATTGACATATGTGATTTTGCTTATATAAAAAAATAAATAAAAAATGATAGTTTCTCTTATAAATAGAAACAAAGTAGTATATCTTTATCCTATCATCCTTATTAAATGTTGGGAATGATATTAAATGTTAGAATATTATATGTTTAAAGTATATATATTTAATAGAGGTAAAGTTAAAAATTTATTAAATTTTTATATAGAGTTAATAATGTTTATAATTTTTCTTAATTTTAATAAAAATATTAAAAATGATTTATAAACAAAACTAAACTGAGTGATACTTAAAAAGCATGTGACTTCAAATTTGTGGAAAAAATAACATGGGTAAGTAGTGCTTTGATATATTTTAATAATTTTTAAATATTAATAAATTTAATAACTATAATTAACACACTTTTTAAACCCATAGAATTCAAATTCAAGAGGATATGATGGTTTCGTGTGGTGAAGCCTCGAAAGTAATCTCTCTCCCTCACTCTTTTTAATCCCAGCGAGAGAGAGTGCGGTGCGGTTGTGCAGTGGCTAGCACATGCAGACATTTTTTTTTTTTTTGGGCCAATATGCAGAGGTAAACTTACACGCCAGACATAATCATCACCAGCTCGAGCGGGGAAATTAGTAAATGCTCTATTCTATTCACCTTCTTAGCCCCAGGCACTTGAACCTCACTGGAACGGAATTCACCCAGCCTGTCAAAATCATCATTTAAAAATTGCAGTCAAAGCCTAATGTGCTCTGGTCAATTAGAATTAGCTTAGAAAGATGCGTTACAAAGTCCCTCATCTAATCCTACCCCCAAAAATCATTTGTCCTTTTTCTTGGATGGTCCGCTAAATGTGGCCCACTCTTGTCTCTCTTCGCCGATCGCTTGCTTGTTCGGCCTTCCATCACAAGCCATAGCCATTAAAGCCAGCGGCCTTTTTCGTGTTTGCGATACGCGCCAATGCACATTGTCGGCCCTCTCCGTCACTCCCTTCTCCTCTGAAGCGCTGCTCTGACTTTTAGCAATGCCGGAGTTGGGGTTTCAGGAGCGATCCTTGTCCAGGGACTGCAGCCCCGACTCTGTCATCTTTACTCTTGAATCTAACTTCAGTCTCTTCTCCTCTGCTTCCGCCAGTGTCGATCGCTGCTCCTTTGCATCTGACGCTCATGACCACGACTCTCTCGCCTCTGAAACCTCCCTGGTACTTTTGTTTCCTTCTCCCTTTCTCTAATATCACTGCTTTCACTGGAACTGCTTTCGTGTTATTTGGTCAATTGGTTCTCTCTGTTTCTTATAGACGTCACTCGGCTTCAACTATAATCTGCGTTTGCACTAATTGGGCCAATCGGAGCGTCTAGCTTTTTCTTTTGATTGATTCTGGACTTGTCTTGATAATAATATAAATAATCAAATTCACTGAGAGGATTACTTCTAAATGTTTGGGGATAGAAAGCTTCGATTTCAGTGTACGAACTGCCATGTCACGCGTCTGGATGGATCAGAATCCAAGTTCAAACAGTTGAGGTTCGTCCTGTTCTTAAGTGTTAAATTTTGGGTCTCTTGCAGCAATTGGCAGTGCATGGTGGTGATTTTTCTCCCACCGAGAATTGGAGTGGTCCAGATCCGGATCCGGATCCAAACAAATACGCAGCAAACAAGACGCATAGTCGCATCATAAGAGAGGAAGGAAAAGCAAAAGGTACTGTTAATTTGTTTTTTTTTATTTTATGTTACGAACATACAAGATTCGTAAAGCGACCGGCCTTGCCAACTTTTATAAGCGACTCGCCAACGGGTCTCACTCCCTGTGTGCACAAACGTTTGTCGCAGCTCAAAAGGAATACAACAATGCTGACGACGTTGAAGACGGTGATCAACGCTTGGAATTGGACTCCGCTAGAAACTCTTTCTCCCTGGCCCTTAAAGGTAACACCAAATCAGTAGCAAGGGTTAGGCCTTAGGCTCTTTATTTTTATTTTTTAAAATCCCGGGAATCTAATATCCTGCCTTGCTTCTGAATAACATAAAGAATGCCAAGATCGGAGATCAAGATCTGAAGCTTTGTTGAAAAAGGCAGACCGGCGGAGGCCTGCTTCTTTAGATCTGAATAATGCAACCGGATCTTCACCTCGACTGGGAACCATGAAGAAGAGTGCAGTATCAACTCGCAAGTCTAACAACTTCCCTAGTCCTGGAACACCGAATTATCGGCATGCTGGTATGGTAATGCAGAAGGGTTGGAGTTCTGAGCGAGTTCCTTTGCATACTAGTGCTACCAGGAAGCAAGTCAGTGCGTCTCTGTTGCCTTTAAATAATGGAAGAACATTGCCATCAAAATGGGAGGATGCTGAGAGATGGATTTTCAGCCCTGTTTCAGGAGATGGTAGGGGGAGGTGTTCCCTTCCACCGCCCCAGAGGCGGCCGAAGTCAAAGAGTGGTCCACTTGGCCCCCCTGGAGTTGCGTATCATTCGCTCTATTCACCGGCAGTGCCCATGCTAGAAGGGGGAAATGCTGGAAATTTCATGGCAGGTTCTCCATTCACAGCCGGTGTTATCCGAGCCGATGGATTGACAATCCATTCCAGTAGCCATGGTGGAGTGCTTCCGACTCGAGCAGATCCTTGCATGGCCCGTTCGGCTAGTGTGCATGGATGCTCTGAGATGCAGAATCAGTCATCCTTGTCTTCCCAAGGCATTTCATCCATCCTTGGACCTTATCTTCCGTTGAATTTTGACATATTTGTGAAGTTATACATAAAAATATATTCTTCGATACACAGGAAAGTTATTTAAAGCACGGCCCAAAAGTGTTGACTTTGGATGAGTTTGACGTGAATTCTCTTTACCTAGATTTCAATTAATCCTTTGTCTTCTTCGAACTATTCCATATATGTTGTTGCTGGGTGGTTCGATTGATGCTAGCTTCTTCTTTATATACTTACAAATTATAACTTGATCTTTGAAATTAAGCGATAATGTCAACGATCGTGTGTTTAATTATGTCATCACAGATGCAGATGGTGATATTCATTGCAAGTGCCTTACTAGCTATGCTGCAATGCATCTGATCTTGCTCTCTGGCTATTGTCTTGACATACAGAAGAAAAGTTCGATGGTTCTAAAGATGCGGCCACCGATGTATCTCGTGCTGTTTCGAGGAGGGACATGGCCACCCAGATGAGTCCAGTGGGGAGTTCATGCTCTTCTCCCAGTATGAGGGCTTCTTTTTCTGTCTCCACCACACCTGTGCTGCCCATGATGGATTTGCAGAGTTCCTCTCCTAATATGGATATTAGGGATGTGCAGATAGATGAACGCGTCACCATGACAAGGTGGTCCAAAAAACATAGAGCCCTATTCACGGGCAGAGGCTTGGAAACTATTGGCAATCGGAAAAGGAATGAAGTAAGTGCCCAGTCTTCAGCCTGGGATGTTTCTGAAACTGCAAAGAGTGTTTCCAAGTAAGTCCCACTTTGGTATTGTATAAATTTGGTTCAATCTTTCTAGGCAAATAGGGATAATTAATTAAGGATTACTTCACAGTGATGTTACCCCAACGTAGTTCTTGGGGGTTACAACAATATTTTAAATAACTTGAAAAGGGCAATAGAGTTTTCTGATAACCGTATATTGTTGATGAATGCTTCATGTTTTTTGTCTTTTTTCTTGGCCACTAAATGCTGGCTAATTTAACTGTTCAGGGTCAAGAGGGAAGAAGCTAGAATCACTGCATGGGAGAACTTGCAGAAGGCGAAAGCTGAGGCAGCAATGAGGAAACTAGAGGTTTTTTCTTAATACCAGTCTCTTTAATCCCAAGTTCTGCTGAATTTATTTTGTTTTTCGCAGCACTATTTCGGTTATCCGAGATCCCCTCTTTATCAAAACGAATTTTAGTATAGTTAAACTTGATGGAGCAACATGCTCACTATTATTTTCGTTATTTCAGATGAAGTTGGAGAAGAAAAGATCATCTTCTATGGATAAGATTATGAACAAGCTGAAATCGGCTCAAAAGAAAGCTCAGGAAATGAGAAGCTCAGTTTCCGACAGCCAGGGCCATCAAGTTGGCAGAAATTTCCACAGGGCTTTATCTTTCCGTAGACCCAGTCAGATGGGTTCTCTGAGTGGTTGTTTCACCTGCCATGCCTTTTGATGCATCATCCGACGCTGTTTATTTTACTGTACATGTGATGCTGGGTAAATTTCCATGGTCAAACTGATCCTAGTTTAGAAAACACTTATTTTCATATCTTTGATACATTTCTTTTTGTGTCTCTGTTTTTTTTTAAATTTTTTTAGGTGTAAGCTGCTCAACACCTTTTCGTATAAATTTGAAAAGTTTTTATTTTTGTCAGTGTGCATCAGGAAAGTAAAATGATTTCATTCTCTAGCTGTACAGGAATCAATTTCTAGTGACAATTACTGTCCCACAGATGCATGTTACTATTTTTTTTTATTCCTTGCCTGCGATCTTCAAGAATCCTAGAAAGCCCTTGAACATTCTCTAGCCACGGCATCATCTAAACGTTCGATGGCCCCAAATGTATTATTATGCTCTTAATTGGCAAATTGCACTTTTCATTGCACTTTCCATCTCTTATCTCCACTATTTGATTAAATTTGAATGATTGGGATTTGAGATTTTATAACATTGTTATTATATTGAATAATAAAACATAGGTAAGTAAATTTAAACGATTAAGATTTGATTTGAATAGTAACACTAGATTTTTATTAAAACATTTTTTTTTACTTTTTAAATTTTAACATTTTCAATTTATTTATATTATTTTTGTTGTTTAGTATTATAATAATATTTTTTTATAAGATATATCAAATCTCAAATGTCGGAAGTTGATCCAATGATAAGTATAGGAATTGGATATAACCCTCTGCCTCCCAACAGAGGACCTAATGCGTCTCTGGCCAGGTTAGCGGATAGTAGTGGAGAGTGGATACTGAAGTACTTAAACGATACGGATCTGAATGAATGTAAACAGTTACTATTTTCAGTTTTGACACTCACCTGGTGTCACTGCAGCTTTGCAGTTCACAACATCAGCCCATTCATTTCCGCTAAAATTTCCCAAGAAATCGATAATTTGCATGGTGCCAAATCCTATCATTGAATCAACTAATTTGTCTTCTGAATTCATTACCCGAGAGTAATCTGAATGCTCAATTGCAAACATCAATTCGATTGATCTTATTCGAGACGAATTGAATTGGAGATCTGAATCCTCTCTAATCTATGCGATTGAATTGTGAAGCATTACAAATTTACAATTTACACATGCCTATAGCCAATTTAATGTGGACCTTCCAGGCCATATGTCCTCGTCAGTATCAAACATATGATAATATTTATCTTAAAACAATACAAGATCTTCTATTATAGAGCGTCGCACCACGTACTACCCAGATTTATCAGGTCTTATCCTATCAGGTCTACTATTGAACTTTATTTTATACGATGTTTAACCATCTGACCTTATATGGTGTGTCAAATAGGGAATATAAATTTTGACACCCACAAACAAAATAGCACACATTCTGCATTACTCATCCTTGGAATCTTGAACATTTTGGAATTTCGTAGATGCAGGTAATGTACCCAATCGAGTAAGATTCACATAATCCTGAGTAAGATGGGCTGATAATCCAGGAACTATCAATCCAACCAGCCTGAATATTTTCATTAACCACCCTTCTCTGTAGTCGTCACCTTCAACGAAGGGGATCATAAAACCTCTAACTAGCTCCCAAGCTGCATTCAAGTTCTTGGGTATGACCCACAACAACGAGAAGTAATTCTTGTTAGGCTCCTCCTCCAAGACCTGCATTTCAATATATACAAAACCCACAAAAGCTCTCATAACTATAGCAGAGCCGAACAGAGAAGACAAATCATGAGTTCAATAATTCATACCTGCCCCTTGTACAAGCTATTGAAAAAAACGCAAGGACCAAAGTGCTTAAACAAGAGGGTTTTGTCGTCGTAAGGAATCCTAGGCACCACGTCGTTGCTATAAACATACCTCACATACTTGACATCGTACTTTTTTAACTTGTCCTTCATGAATTCACCAAACTGTTGGTCTCCTACTCTTGGCTGGCCAAACGTATAAACACCTTCTAACTTATCCAGCAACCATGCTTCATCGTGAAGTGTTAGAACAGCCGCAAACAGAATGGCCAAAGCTCCTCCCAAACTGTGGCCGGTCACTATAAACTTTGCAGTCTCGTTTTCCATGAGCATCTTTTTCAGCTCCTTTCTGATGGTGTAATATGCCAACATATGTTGGACCTCATCATCATCGGCTTCTTGTACCTCCTTGGGCCACCCATCATTCTTCTGCAGCCCCAATGCCTTCATGAAGCCACCATGGATTTTGCCCACTTTGGGAATCTCGTACCATGAGATGTCCACGTCTGTGATCCATTGGGCTGCATCAAATGGCTCGGTACCCCTAAATGCCACTACGATCAAGTTGGGTTCAGACTTCGAGTCTCGAAGCATGATTGCTCGTGTGGACTCATGTTGCTGGTATTCTGCACAGCGTTGTTTTAGAATAATACATCAACTTTTAGTTCAAGAGTAAATAATTCCCACTTGGGTGTCAACTACATAGAAGCACGTTCTACCAACTACAAGAGCAGAGGGAAAAAAAAAAATTATTAACTGCAAGAGTAATATTCTGTATCTGCTACTTGATTCATAATCAATTATGTGCCGAATAAAATATTTAGGGCTTTAAAGAATGGGTAAACATTTAATAGGTGAAAATTTGAGACCGCAAGAGTTTGCTGACTACTGTGTGGTAAACAGAAAAATCCTAGAATTTTATCTTTTGTTGAGTGAATCTTGGGTGACATTTGTTGAATTTAAAAGGAGAGAAAAATAAAAGTAAATATATATGCTAATATTAAAAGTAAATATATATGCTAATATTAATGGTTTGTACTGGCAAACTCAGTTAAATATTTTATGAAAAAAACAGGTTAATCTTTATATCAAGAGGAGAAATCGCATCTATGAGCCTATAACTTGGCTCCTAGGGTTATTCCCTCTTTAGCAGTCGTGTCAAATGCAAGAAGGTTTTGTTGTAACGACAACCCAGAACAGTTTGTGAAATTTCCAGGGAAGCATAATTAGTGAAATGAACACACACACACACACTCTTGGTTCTATTTATATAGGGTACAGATGATTTTTTTTTGTTATTTATAAGTCATATCAATAAATTTTTATTACAATTTCTCCTTTTATCCTCTATTAAATATTAAAAAGAAAAAATATGTTATTAAAGTGTGCATGTTTAATAAGGATAAAGTTTTAATATTTTTTAATTTTATTAAAATATATTAAAAATGATTTATAAATAAAATAAAAAAGTGTGCGTGTATGGAAAGCTCAAGTTCATTTCCTTTCAATGAAAGCATGTGTAAAACTTTAACCAAATATAATAATAGTGGTACTCCCAATGACATGGTTGCAAGGGTGAAATGACTCACCTTAAAGGGGGGGGGGGGGGGGGACCAGTATTCAAGATAATCACTTTAAAATAGTCGAGCAAAGAGTAAAATCTGTAAATGTTTCTCTTTTAGAGAAAAAAACAATTAACAATGCCAAATTGTCTTACACTTTAATTTCACCGAGTTCAATTTATAGTCATAACCAATTGTTTCGAAAATCAACTTTTAGACATAGAGAATGAGTGAAGTCTAATTTGGAGCCGAGATTTTTTATAAATATGCCTAGTTCTTACGAATAGAAATTAACAATAGAAAAAAAATAAGAGGAGCCGAGATTCAAAGAGAGGATATTGATATGAGAAACACGAGACCATTGACTAATTAACAAATTAATTAATTAATATTTGCGACGGCTCCCCCTTCTTTTATCAAATAAAGCTCGTACTCGTTAATTACTCAATACTGGTGGCAATAAAAAAGTAATGACCAATATTGCTGTAAATAACATAAGTACACAGAATCATGGACGATACGGCTTAATTAACACATAGCATGTTTACAATGTACTCATCTAACTCAAATTATAAAACATTTTTAAAAAAATTCAACATCTCAAAATATAAAACAATTTGATAAAAATGAGCTTTCATTAATAATATTTTTTTTAAAATTATCTTTCTCAATGTTCTCTTTCTTCAATACTATTTTATTGATGGAGTATTAAATGAAGTGTATTTTTAAATATTTATATTTTTGTCTTAAAAATGTAAATTTGTAAAATGTATTTAATGAATTTTATTAATATGTGAGATTTTGTTCAAAAATATTTTATAATTTAAGACAAAGTGAATACCATTATTCTTAAGTTTTCATGTAAAATTCTATCTAAAAAGTTTTAAGGTCAAGTAATTTTACACAAGGAGACAGACATTTAAGACATCCAATGATAACAAATCAATCAGATTCGGTGGGGATTATAATTCTAAAGATGAATCAAATTCTCATAAGGAACGCTCATAGCGCGCCTGAACTTTCTCTATTTGTCTGTTTTTTCTTTTCAAAATGTGATTTTGATTTTAGACCATTAACAGAAAAGGAGCATGCAAATTGGTCATAGTAATTAAAGCAACTCAAGTTGCCTGTTTTTACTGACGCCACCTTGAAAAAGTTAATATTCTCTGAAAATCCACCTCAATATATATAATCAAACAGATCATGTATGTATATCTCGCCTATTAATTACTCACTAGATTCAGATCTATTTCGTGTCTTCAAAAAAAAAAAATTACTCAAGGTTGCTTTATAATTACCGTTCCAGAAGCTGTAGAACCCCAAGAAATCCATCTGCAATAACGATTATAAAAGCAAACAAAATTAAACAAGAATAACCTATTGGATCATGAACATAACATAATTAATAAAATAATCAAATAAATGATAGTTTTTATCCAGTTAATTAAACTATTGTATAATCTAGAGACAGTCATGAACACAAGAGGTAATGGAATGAACTAATTAACGTACATCCCAATAATCTTTGACAGCACTTTCAGCGACGTTTGGATTCTCGTAGGACAATTTAGAGGCCATGATAGATAGAAACCCTTTGTACTTTGTATCCTCAGGTTTAATACTCTTGTCTAATTTCATTCGAGGGTCAAGGATTCCCACCGTCGATTTAAATTTCGCCGACGATCTCTCCGGTAATCTCATCGCTCCTGCACATTCACCAACCCATCCATAACACAAGCAATACCTAAGAATCACTGATTAAAAAATGGTAAAGCTAAGCATAATTAAACAAAAGCAACCTCATCATTAGCTACAACAAATTAATCACCAGCACATTAATCCACATGGATGCACGTGCGTGGAGCCATGGAAGAAGGAAGGTTGCAGGGAATAAATATTACGTATTGTGATCGTGGATATGGAAGCAAACCTCTGAGAATGTTGAACAGAAGCCTTATGAAGCCGCCATTGATTGAGAGAAGGTTGAGCCACATCTCCACCAGGTAGCCTATTTTGTTGAGGGACGTTTTGGAGGCAAGGAAGGCCCTCTGAGCCACGACGGAGATGAAGAGGATCCATCGTCGTCGAAATTGTCTGTACTGCGTCTCTGCTGGGCACTCGATGAACTTTCTGCTGTCTAACTTAGAAGAAAAGAGGAGGCAAATGAGATCAACCACACTCGCTTCTTCTGGCTTCAGCAACAGGTAATCGCCTTCAAAAGGTTGCTTGGAAGCCATTGGTTACTTTAATCAATGACAAGGAGGAATCTTATTGAACAAAAGATAATGATGATGGTGAAGATTTATATACGAGGTCTGAGTTGTAGTGTCAACGTCTCAAACAGAAACCTTTCAAACTTGGGAAAGGGGGTTTCATTTAATTATGTTTAATTTGTACTAATATGCAAGGTAGCTAGGTCTTACCAGGTAAAAGGTGAAATATTATAATAATAGTGGATACTGAACTGAATAAATCAATCAGATTAACTAATGACTTGTATTCTGATGATGATGGTGTGACACTTTGTCCAGCGGGGCTTACCGCGCATCATGATGAACGACAATATAATTACAGGGTTGAATTAAATTTAATTGACCTTCTTATTAATAATATATGAATTTAACATAAGAATTAAATTAATATTAATAGTGATTTAAATGACTTCTCCCAAGTCGCCTCACCTGTCCTTTCCAATTTTTTTGCACAAGAAGAAGGTTATTTTTTCCCCTTTCTTGCTTTTCTAGTGCATCAATGATTTTCCTAGAATATCATCTGCAAATATAGTGTGTGTGTGTGTGTGTGTGTCACTATTAGCTACAAATCAACAATGTCATATTACCCAGATCCCCAAAGCAGGTGCTGCAGATTTCTTTCTTGGACAACAGAGATCGAATTACAATTTACGACCGTCCAGTTCTAGGCATCTTTTCTTAGGCTCCTCCGTTTGGTAGAAACCAAGATCAAGAATTTTACAAAATTAAATACTAAATTAAATTGTGCTCATAGCCTCATATGCTCATTTAATTTATTGTTCCTTGCTTTTAACGGATGACTACTATATATACTACCTACCATTTTCTAAGAACAAATCCATAAACATATATTGACTTCATTTTTGTTATTTCACTTAGTGGTAAGAAAGAGACCTATATGTAATACAATAATATTTTTATTCTGGCCACTTTTGGTCGCGTGGAAATATAACAACACTAAATTATGAGATATTATCAGATTCTTTGTTAAATAAAAAATGTGCCCTTGTTTTGTTTTTTACTTGAAAAAAGATCATGATGAACGCTTTCAATTTTTATCATTATATCTGTTTTGATTAGTTGTTACGGATAATAGATTGTTGACGAAGCTGGAAATTAGGGTCGGGCTGATACAAAGTAAGAGGGTTAGCATTTGAAAGATCAAAATCAATCCTATCAAATCTTATTATATCTTAAGATTTTATTTTACAAAATTCAATCCTAGCTCTTAAAGTCGAAGGGCTGCCCTAAGGGCCTTAACCCCTTATATTTTTTCTTTTTCAAAATTTAAAAACTTAAAAATATATTGATAATCCTGAAAAATTATAACATATATATGTATATATATAATTAAATCTAAAAAATAAATTTAAGTAAGTCCACACCACAACAAATGTGTAAAATTTAAACATTTAAATCTAATATTAAATAAAATATCATCAAAATAGTTGAATCGTGAATCCTTCTGCCTCTTCTTTCATTTCATGATCCACTAAAGTGGGCTAGACGGCTAGTGAAGTGGTTGCTGGTTGCGGCTGACGATGAGTTTAGCCGTCTAATGTTCAATTTCATCATCAATCTTTTTATTTTTTAAATTGAAATTAAAAATAATAATAAAATTTAAAATGATCCTAAAATGGCAGCTCAACCGACCTGACTCTAATTCCTGACTCTAATTATTTAGAGTTCTCTTTTCCACACCACAAGTCACGTGCAAGAAATATTGCAAGCGATCACATTATGTATGTAATAAACAATTTTGAAAAATCAGATTTTTTTTTTTCAATAGTCATGGATGATGTTTCATAATTTTTTATTTGTTAACTAATTAAAAAAACTCAGTCCAACTTCATTATTATATAGAAGTTGTAAATAATAATCCAGGCCAAGCAAACGCGGTCACGTAATTAATTATTAACTAGAAAGTCAATGCTAATTTCTTCTAGGTGCTTGGAATTTAAATGCCTGAATTTCTCCATTTACAATATTCCTATGATCCTATTTACAAATCACTTTTAACATGTTTCATTGCAATCAAAGAAAATTTTAAAATTTATTAACTCTATCTAAAAATTTAATAAGTTCTTAATTTTATTTTTATTAAATATATACTAGTATACTTTAATAATATATATTTTCTTTCTCTAATATTTAATGGATAGTATAAAAAAATTTGTGATAAAAATTAATGATGTAACTTATAAATATAATAACAATAATATTATCTCTTTATCTTATAAATAGGATCACAAGATTTCTTTATAATTGATGTTTGTATTATTCAACAAAATCTCTTGTCTTCTCATTCAATGGAGATATATTTCTCTCGTCTTATTTATAAATTACTTCTAACATGTGTCATCATTATTAAGAAAAACTTTAAAATTTATTAACTTTGTCTTAAAATTTAATAAGTTCTCAACTTTATCCCTATTAAATATGTATACTTTAATTACATATTTTTTTTCTCTTTAACATTTAATAGAAGATAAAAGAGAAAATTTGTGATGAAAATTTAATGAAATGACTTACAAATAGGACTAATTTCTCTCTCTCTCTCTCTCTCTCTCTCTCTCTCTCTCTCTCTCTCTCTCTCTCTCTCTCTCTCTCTCTCTCTCTCTCTCTCTCTCTCTCTCTCTCTCTCTCTCTCTCTCTCTCTCTCTCTATAAATAAGATCAGAGGAAGTATTTATAAAATCTAACTACTTGATTCCCATTTCATAATTAATGTCCCCTTGCCCATTTTTTATTTTTCGTTTTTAACTAAAAAGGTAAGCAAATGGTAGAGGACAGGCTACATGTTATACAATCGATTTGAAAATCAGTAACAAATTGAAAGCAAGAGGGAAAGATGAGAAAGTAAAGGTTAAATTTTCAGCATTGATCGGCCACTTAATTTGAAAGTCTTACATTGGAAGCTAGGACGAAATTAAGTACAAAGCATAAAATATTAAGGTTGGTATATATAGCCCAATAATTAATTCTCGTACTGGTTAGACGTGTTAAATCAGTTATGTTTAACTAATATGAACATCAAATCGAATCATTGTTTGAATTCTAAGCGGCCGCGTCGTTAATATCCACTGCGTTAGAGGAAATTTTATGAGGATTATATTTATTTACGGTACGTTTTTTATTGTATCCGTTTTTGCCGACATTTTTTTTTTTGGCTGGGTTAGCTCCAAATCAAGCTGATGGGATTCAAATTAATTCAAATTGAGCTAAAAGAAACCTTTTTGGACGGAGAATCTACCACATCAAAATTGTTGCATTCTCAAAGTTGGAACTCAATACTCTAGTTACGCTAGCAAAAAAAAAAAAAAAATTTCAAAGATCGAACTCTATACTCTAGTTAAACTTGTACAACTTCTTTATCAATTTAATTAATTCTTCAATGATTTTTTTTACTGTTTAGGTTGACTCCAAATCAAGTTGATGGGGTTCAAATTAATTTAAATTGAGCTTAAAAGGGATCCTTTCGAAAGGAAACTCTACAATCAATGCTGCTGCATTTTCAATGTTCGAAATCAATCTAGTTAAACTAGTACAGTTACTTCCTTATCAATTAGAACCAATTCTCCACTGATTTTTGGCGACATTTTGTTATTACACGCAAGTATGTGTTTTGTTAGGCGTGAGGAGGTTGGCGCGTAGCTGTAAGGTCAAAAGCCAATCATCCCCATAAGAGATTAGACAAGTTTAAATTGACGATACACGTCATGGCCCATTTTTTGTCGCTGAGCAGAGCACCAAAAGGGTACATTAACCTTGAGGCCAATGTGTCAAAGGGATTTCCACGAATTTCTACTCGTCCTTATCCATGGCCTGGACTCAACTCTGCAATATCATCTAGTTAGCCCTAGTTTCAAAATAAAAATAAGTGTGGAAGATTCAAGGATTGATATAGAGTGGGGAAGATAAAGGGTTTGAGATGGCCTCCTAAATTATTTTTAGCTATAATAAATATAAATTTTCCTAACTCCCCAAGATTGTGAAGTCATGGATGAAATGACTTGGTGTAAATACCACAATTACAAAATTCTCCCTCACGAGCCTATGAAAACATTAACGTCCTTAATTAATAGGGATTGGGTTTAATAGAAAGGGTTAATCTCTCATAATATAGAGAATCAAGATTCAAATTTTTACTAGGAGAGGTGCCCACATTTAGTGCCCAATTATGCCTCAAACAAAATTACCTCCAATTGTCAGTTTCAAAATAATTTCAACTAAATTGTCAGTTGTAATTGATTTTGCTATTTTTGTGCAATGTTTTTAATCCTTTATATAAACACTTGTATTCTCTTTTTTCTTCATTAGTGTAATATACACTTTTCATTCAGATATTCCCATTTTTGTTTAGTAATATGGTATTATGAACCTTATTGTTCTCATGGCTATCGAGACTTCATCTTCTATCTCCAACCCTTCCCCTAACCCTAACCCTATTCTACCAACCTTTGATTTGACCAGTCCATTTTACATCCATCTCAATGAGAACCAAGAGTTAGTCTTGGTTGCTCCTTTGTTGATAGCTCCAAGTATCATTGTTGGGCTAGAGCCATGCATATGGCGTTACTTTCCAAGAACATGTTGAAATCTATTGATGGTTCTCCTTCTCTATTACTTCCTTTTAATCCAATGTTTTCGGCTTGAGAGCAATGTAAAACCTTTTGGGGTAAGACTCATCATATTGAAGAGACTAGCTATCAGAAACATGGATATCCTCTTGGATTCAAGTTTTGTAACTCTTTTGCTATGGTGAATAATTTGTCCTCTCAAGACTCTAATTCTATTCGAGGAAATATATCACCTTTACCTTACTTTCACTTAGCTGCTTTTATTTTGCTTCTGCTTCTTCAAATTCAAATCATATTCTTTAGACAACTAGGTCATCTATCTCATTCCACTCTTTTTGTATTACATAAATAGATTTCATCCATTTCCTATACTTCTCATCCTTTGTTATGTGACACTTGTCATTTTGCTAAACAAAAATGCCTTATTTCTTCCTATAAGCTCCAATACTTGTAATAAAATTTTTGATCTC